AAAAAAAATTCAATTCAGCTAAGACAGGTGAGGCACAGCCCTAAACAAGCAGACAAGTCTTGGGACAATAACTTCTCAAGACTTGGGACGAGTGACTTCTCAAGACTTGGGACAAGAATACAATACTTTTATTTTCCGTCGTTTCACAAGCTTATTGTTAAAATCACATAAAGTTGTTACATTTTTAAAATTGACGACATGTTTCGATATACAATTCTATCATCGTCAGGTCTATCAAAATTAAAATTAAAATCTGGTGTATCTGTTGCTCTGCTTATATTGATTTTGTTTTTACCCGTTTTTGATTTTATTACATCTCCAGGCTTCTTCCATTTAATTTTGGAGACTGCGCCTGGGTGCCTATATCGGCGCAGTCTCCAAAATTAAATGGAAGAAGCCTGGAGATGTAATAAAATCAAAAACGGGTAAAATCAATATAAGCAGAGCAACAGATACACCAGATTTTAATTTTAATTTTGATAGACCTGACGATGATAGAATTGTATATCGAAACATGTCGTCAATTTTAAAAATGTAACAATTTTATGTGAAATTTTATGTGATTTTAACAATAAGCTTGTGAAACGACGGAAAATAAAAGTATTGTACCATGAGCTGTATTTTAGTAAATGCTGCCCATGTGTGCTTTCTGTATAGTGTTTTTAGCTGCATCACATTATATACAGATTACTTAAAATTTCACTCTAGTTTATGTATTTATATTTATTTTTGAAGTTCTGTAAGGCTAATGCTTTATATAAATAATTTAAAAAGCCTAAGTTTTAAACTTCCCATCAAGACACTGAGACCTTCTTCACTAACATGTTCAGCAGAATTACTTCCTTTATAAAATTTCTTTGTTGATGTAATGTGTGGAATAAGTTACAAAGAGGCTCATTCCTGACCTATTTTTAATTATCAAGGCAAGTCATTATTGTACAGAGACAATGTTACTACCTACATATACATTAAATAAATTACCATTTATTAAAACACTTTTCTAAACTTTATCCTGTCCTCTGTATTAGGGTCTGTCAACCCATCAAGACCAAGGGCCACATTTCTCATTTTTATTGACTTATAGACCACTGTGAATAATTTATTGAAACTTCATGGCAGTTTATTAAAGAAGCTAGGCAAAAAGGTTTGCATCAGTTAGTTTCTTAACATGTTTGCTTATTTGTCATTCTTGTTAACTATTTATTGGCAATTAAGTATTATGCCATAACTATTGTTTCATCATCCAAGGTGATACAATATTGCAAATATATGTGTGTGGACTCACAACACATTGGCAGGCCACAGACTGAAAACTCCTGAAATGTATGATTTCATTCTGCATTGGATTTATTATATTTTAATTAGAAGTGATGCCTTTTTCTGGAATGAAATATAACTTATATGGGACCAATACTGTTATTTTATATTCTGTTGTTTTCAATTGGCTGTTGCCCTAGTAGTTATACATGTTTTCTGAATAATTTTAAAGTAAAATTAATAGAGTGACAGCAGTTTCTGTTTTGGTTTTTTCATATTATCAGTGTCTGAGCTTGTTGCCCAGTGGCTCAGTTCTGCAGGACTTGACCCATGCAAACTGGTGGACATGTCTGATGTTGAATTTGAAAATTTGGAACAAGAGCAGACAGAAGAAAGTAGTCTGAGGAAAACTGCTTCTGCAGACATCAAGGAAGGTTGCAAGCTGGAAGTCGAGCAAGGGACAGAAGCCACGCCAGCAAATGAACATGAAACTGAGATACTAGGTTTGTATAAACTGCCTTAATTTAGTAGTTCTGTCTTTTTTGGGCTCAAAAGCTTTGGTTAAATATTTAATGACAGGGACTTCTGGGAGTTTCCTCTGCCCCTGTATATAGTTGCTGGAATGGAGAAAAATAGACAAAATGCTTTACTATTTACCTGTCCATCCATCCATCCATCCATCCAATTGCGCTACAGCCTTGGCCTCCTCCCATGTGGGAGGTTTCCTTGTCTTTGAAGTGTGCATCTGTGAGTAGTGAGTGACAAGCCCACTGCCTCTGCACAATTTCTACTCAATCTTTATTTGTCTGCTAGAGCCATCTAGTAGAGAATCAGAGAGATATGGATGAGAAATGGCTGCTGAATTTTGCTTATGAGACATCTACAGTCCACAGATCACGAGAAAAGCCCTGATATGAATGCGATATACGCGCATGCGCAAGATTTCGCGGTGAGTGACCAGCTGCTACTAGCCAACCTAAAAGCATTCGTTCCAAAACCACTGAAGGAACAACAGACAAAAGGCTTTCATAAGTTCTAATGAGTATAGCTTTAAAATTACCTCACAGTGGCCGAGCGAGCTCGGGGTCAGAAAAGTCAGTTGCTTCTTCAGACTCAACAGCTTCACAAGAAGTCTCTTCGTCATCGCTACTGTCATTTGGATTGGAAATAATTATTGAGTCGATCACGTCAGCAACAACCCCGTCCCGTTCCCAGTATTGTTGTTCCAGTTGTTCCTCATGTTGGCAGTATCCTTCCCAATCCTTTGCAGTCACAGTTGCGATCCCTTCTGTTGTTAAATCCAGCAGCTGCTTCAAAGACACATCCCCTGTCACGTTCTCGCGAACGTAGTTTCTTACCTTAGACCATGCTAGTTCTATTGGACTAAGGTCACACATATGGAGGCAACCTAACTACAATGTGACCATGGGCGTTTAGTAATTGATAAATTTTGAAAAAAAATTTCTTTTGGTTTCCTTGTCAGTTGGCCTTTTCTCATAGCTGGATCACAGAAAACTCCGTGCCGCTGTGACCATGAGATCATTTCAGATTTAACCGAATACCTTGAAGGAAACCAGCACGCGATCCAGCGTGAACCACAATCAGTCTTTTTCCAGCATTTCGATCAGAGCATACCCCTTTAACTTCCGTACTTTGCCAGCATTTTTTGAAAGTTAAATTGCTGTCTACCCAGCTTTCATCTAAGTAGAATATTTGTCTTCCTTCATTGCGAAGCATCTTAATATTCACTAAATACCTCCCTCGCCAGTTTACTATGTCCGGCCTTTCCATCAGGATCTTGCGCTTACTTAGACATTTCTTCCACTTAAACCCTAAGTTATGTAAAATATTCTGTAGAGAATCAACACCCCATGGAAAGTAAATTTTTTGTTTAATTATGGGCAGTAGCTTGGGGCAGCTTGGTACTTTCTTCTGTATTGCGCAAAATTCTTGCACAATCCACCTTATGAAAGGAGTCAGTGGTGACATTCCTATCAGTAGGTCTAGGCCGGTGTTTCCCTGGCATGTGTAAAGGTGACAGTGTGCCCTTGTCGTCTCTATCTTTTGACTCTTGCCTTACCTTCTTAATTAAATCCTCAGATACACCCGCATATCTGGCTGCCCTGTCTGTTGCACGCGTCAAGGGAAATTTTAGCTCTTGCTTCCTCATCACAGCTTCACTACGCTGGATATTATTTACCGCGCTTCCCTGTGAATAGTTTTCCCCTGTTTACGTACACTCGACATCTTTAAATCACCTGTGATTGAATATAGAATATTATCACAACACCCACAGAACACAGTACAGACACACTAAATACACGCTAATCTCAACTGCTGGATGTTTTCAGTCTGTGTGTATTATCATAAAACTCTGGCATGTTATACTTCCCACCAATAGCAGCCCTCTAGTTCACCGGACAGTAAACATTCCCCCCGCACCACACCAGAAAAGACTTCCCCCCGCAGGGCTTTTCTCGTGATCTGTGGACAGTAGTTTATACTCGTAAGGTTCTTTTACGTCCTGTAAATCTGCGACATGGGACCGCCGGCTTTACTTCCCCTCCGAAGGAAGTTGTGCTATGGATTTTTATCATCGTTAAAAATCTATCGATCTCGGCCGAGTTTGAACCCGCGAACCTTGGGTCCAGTGGCAAGCATGTTAACCACTAGTCCACCGAGGGCGACACTACTTACCTGTCACATATTTATAAATTATTTGTATTAAAATTGTCATTATTCTTAAATTTATAAAACTGATATTTCACTACAGAATGACAAGGGATTGTGCAGGGTGTCCATCAAGTAATAAAAATTAATTCAAAGGAAGCTTGTGGGTGTATTGGTATCAGTGTGCATGGAAGTTTGATGAAAGTGTCCGAATTTACGCTTTTGGTTGGTACATGTTGCCTGGCACACAGCTAAATGATATTTAGTCTTACCAGATGTTCTCCAGCATGTTAGTGGTTATCTGTGGTATAGCTTTTGTGATGTGTTTCTCAGTTTCTGCAGGTTTCTCACTCTGTCATAGTTGATGATGTTCTACATGAATCCCTAAAAAAAGAAATTTGGTGGGGTGAGCTCTGGTGGACTGTGTGTCCAGTCAGTTTTTGTGATATATTTTCACTTGAAACATTTTGTTTCAGTTTCACATTGAAGTTATTGTGAAATTTTTTATTAAGACCACTTATTTCCATGATCTACTAGCTCATAGAAAAGGAATTTACTTGCTAAAGCTGCTAGTGAATGGAGCAAAAATCTGAAGTGATAAGATGCAGACTATGTAGAATAAACTTCTTTAGTGAAGATTTATTTTTGCAGCTAACCTGGCTATCCTGAAATGCCACTTCTCATACAGTTTGTCATCAAGTATTCTTTTGGCCAATTTGTGCTGGGAATTCATGTTGGCATGGCACCACAATGTGGATGAATTGAATGCTCTGCATGCTGCAGTGAAATGCCTACAGGCAGTTCCATCACCTCATCTGAAAGCAGGAAAGATGCTGATACTAGGGTTTTGCCAGCTTAAATTGGAAATTTTAATTCTGTGGTATTCTGAAATACTGAGGTATCTGGGAAAAACTTCAGACACGCTCTCTAAATGCCTCCATTAAGCAGAAATGAGATGACTTTTTACTATGCCTATCTGTATAAAATAAATAGAGTAGTATATATAGTAATTCAGTAGTACAGTGCCAGAAATTTTGCACACGTAACTTCATATTTGATGCTGTCATTGTAACTGACTCCAGAGTGCACGGCTTTTCAAAGAACTAAGTTTCTTAGATAGTCAAATTTGTGCCTTTAAGATACCAAGAAATTCATTACTGTGGTGATTGCCTTGCATTCTGGTGTATTTCCTCTGCATTTATATTTGTACCAACCTCCATACTACTGTCTAATAGAATTTCTGTGTTCCTTTTTATAATAGTATGTCTTCACCTAATTTTGTTGGCATAAACCAGACAATGCTGTGTTCCATTCAGTTCGAATCCTTTCCATTGTTCATGAACTTTCCTTCATAGGTCAGATGATCTGTAAAACATGCTCCCAAATTCTCACCATTACATGGTGGGGCATCCTATGAAGTGTATAGAATTAGATTCACAGATCACACTGTTAAAGTATCAATTGGCCAGTTGTTTCAGAAGTTAGTAGAAGAGGGTAGACACATTTAAATGGTTAATATCACAGTTGTCATGTTCATAAATAAAGCTAGGCATTTATTTATTTTGCCTGTTGAATTCATACCTTAAATTATAAGTACTGGTAGTTCCCAGTGAACATGATTTTGTTGTAATGCTGTTTTAAAACTTGGGGCTCATTTCAAACTAACGTGCTTGGTTTAACACAATTTCTGCACAGTGGTGGTTTGTTCCTGTAAGTTCTGAGAAGGCCGGCCGCAGTAGCCACGCGGTCTGAGGCATGATCGTCGTGCGCCTGACTGCTGCGACCGTGGGCTCGAGTCCCACTCAAGGCATGGATGTTTGTCCGCGTCCTTCTGTGTTTGTCTTACATGCATATGTTTGCAGTCTTGTGTGTGTCAAGCAGCCAATTGATTGATTTATTTAATTTACTTTTATATTTATTATCATCTGAGTGAAATAATGTGTGGTAAGGGTTAGAATAATGCTGATGGTTCTGCTGTTGATGGTCGGAATAAGATATGTATAAAAGTTATAATATTATAGCAAAAACTCAGTGTGCTTAAGTGGTACGAGAACGATGGAAAAACATATGGGATTGTCCATGTTACCAACTTAAATGAAGTGATGCTTTGTACCTTACATGCAAATGCTGCCAAAATTAGAGCAAGTAATGCTAGTGCTGCTTCTGTAGAGTAAGCCAGCTATCACAGGCAAGGTCTGAAGTTCTACAAATCAAATTCATCTTCAAACCTCATGGCTATAAAGGCAACATCTTCAAGTCATTTTGAACCTGCAGAATCGAAAGAATTGCCTCCTGATGCTGACCAACTTGTGGTTGAATTGACTCAATCTTCTCCATCCCCTCTCTCACCTCAGCGACTGCGTCTTTGCTATCCTGCATTGTGCCACAGTGTTGCCCCATTTTGTTTTATGCAATTTTGTTTATTTATTTTTGGTTTATTTAATGGTGATGGATGATAGGATCGTTAATGAACAATGGAAGGAAGTTCTCTAAGGTACTATCCTGGTAAATGATTGGAGAGACTGAGGAAGACCACAGAAAGCATCATTCAGGATAACTGGTCTTTTGGTTGAGATTT